AGGGCAGAAGGGGGGAGGGGAGAGAGGGGACGGGGGAAGGGTCCCAGCCGCTGCCTAAGGCCTAAATTCCAGGAGACTGGCTATGCTCTCCCGCATCCTGGCCTCACCCACCTGCTTAGGGAGGCTGTCCACCTTCTCCCACACTCCCCGCAGGTGTGCCGCAATCTCCTGCTGCCACTGGGCCAGGTCCCCTAGTGACCTCCTCTCTGCACCTTCCCATTCTGTCTTCGCCTGGGATACAAACACCCAGTGAGGGCCAGAGACCGGAGAGCCAGGATGGAGGGGCGGAAGAACAGGGTTCCATCCCGAGCCCCAGCACAGGGAGGCCCCTGGGAGGCGGCTGGAGAGCTCCAAGGGCAGGCGGCTCCCACGCCCATTTCTGGTTAGGCCGAGGGACCCCGGGGTGCTTTCTGGGTGGTGGATATTCTAAAATTGTCTGGAGATGGCTGCACAGCACCGCAGATACACTGAAAACATGGAACTATACACTTTAATGGGAATTGTATGATGTGTGAGTCACATCTCAGTAAAGTCTCACAAGCGATGCCTCCTCGCTGACCCCTCCTGGAGGCCCTGCGTAGTCAGGGCCACTGGGGCCTCTGAGGCCACGGGCAGCGGCTCCATATCAGGCCTCAGTGGCTGCTGCTGTTGCTAGGTGTGGAGGGAGGCTCCTGCCCCCACATGGGTCAATTCTCACCCTAAGGTGGGTGGACCGAGCAGCCAGAGGGCCATGGCTGTGCCCTTCCTCCACCCACGCCCAGCTCACCTCCGACAGCCTCAGGCCCAGCACCTGCTCCTGCAGGTCCAGCCTGCAACTCAGGGCCGGGAGGTGGTCACTCAGGTCCTTCAGCTGCCCGGCCAGCTGGGCCACTGATGCCTCCAGGACCTGTGTCTTTTCTCGGAGCTGCGAGAGGGCAGGCAGACTCCACTGAGCACCCATCTTATGTGTACAGGACCTGCCGGGCCGTGCCCTGCCCTGCCCCCTCACCAGTGCCAGCTCGCCGTGTGTCTCCTGCCGGGCCAGCTCGCTGGCCAGCTGTATGGCTTCCAGGTTTTCCTGCACGTAGGCGGCCAGCTCTCCAGTCTGGCTCTCCTCCAAGCGCCCCTTGGCATCCCTGGGGGTTGGTGCCATCGAGACTGATCCTCAGCCAAACCAGGCCAGGGAGGGGAGCCTGGCTGCTGGCCCTGTAACCTTCTAGGGACCCAGGGATCGGAGGATAGGGGCCTTCACGGGGTCACCTAGACCGGGCTTGTCTCCCTGCTGCCGTAGCTGAGCCCCCGTGAGGGACAGGAGCCCCAAGGGAGGGCAGCTATTCTGCCCCATGCATCCCACGGGGCTTAACACTGGCCCCTTCTGAGCGGAGCACCCAGGGTCCACTGGCTGACAACTCGCGAGGCCTGGCCCGGCTCGACACCCACCGGGCCTCCTGCTCGGCCAGCAAGACGCGGTTCAGGGACACCTGGTTCTGCTGCACAAACTTGGTCAGCTGGGCCACGGCTGCGTCCAGACCCCGGCACTGCTCCAGGACGTGGC